AGAGAGATACAAGAAAGAGATGATAGATACCAAAGTGTTAGTATATCAAAACTTGCCTGACAGTTTACCACATTACAATACAGTTTATACAGTATGTTGATTGATATAAGCTTTACAAACATAAAATTAACGCATTCGAAACAGTGATACCTAGTCTTGCGCATTAGGTGTGAAATATGGATGCCTGTGTGTTGCTTATATTCATCCTAGACAGGATTCCCCTGGTGGCCCCTGAGGTGCTGGAGGCTCCAGACAACCTGACGCGAGGTGATAAGTGGCTTTGGTGCTACTGTGTGGGATCTTCAACAGTGGATCGCAATTTGCTGCAAGGCTGGGATTTAGATCAGCGTGAGCTTCCCAGCTCTTCTCTGATAAGTTAAAGGAAAGATAAAAGCATGGAGCGTGTTAAGTGTTCGTGGATCAAACCTGTGGAAAAGAAATGCAAACCGTGTGCAGCTATAAAAAGTGTCAATAAATCTGCAGTTAAGATGCATGAACAATATTATAAATAGAAATAGATACTGTAGTTGAATAAGTGTAAACATGATCCACTAAAAAGATAACTTAGAAACTTAAGGTTCACTATAAACAGGGAGAAGCACGCAATCACATTTACATTCAATGACAATGTGCAGAAAATAAAATCAATGTATTTAGTAAAGCCTGTGGTACGTGCATATGACGATGAGCTTTTGATGTGCTTTCTGTAGAAGCGGAAAGTTTCTATGAGAGCGCGCGAGCAGCGCGCGCGCGCGCGTGAGCGAGCGCGAGCGAGAGCGAGGTATGACTGAGCGAGCGCAGTGGCGAACCGGTTGTGCGGTGTGCGCGGATTAGTCGCGTCAGGCGCTAACCAGTTCTGATCACTTCAGAGATCAGAGGCACGAGCGCGAGCGAGCGGGAGGAGAGCACGTTCGAGTAGAACCGTGTATGTAAGTGATGAGTTAGGCGGGCATTTATGGGAAGAGGTCAGAAGAGCGAGCGAGAAATGCGATTACTAATTTTCTACAAAGTGCCTGTGAGTAAGAGAAAGATTGATAGACGTGAGCCTCATAAAGAAGTGATACGCTAGGATTTCGTAAGGCGAAGTGTGCGCTAAAAGTTGACTTCCCACGAGGATGTGCAGGCAGAGGACTGAATGGCCCTCGTGTGTTTGTGTGAGTCTTTCGTAAGATGAAGGGAGGCAGTTTTGAACAGGCGAGTTCAGAGGACGAGCAGAGGAGGAGGAAGGAGCGGATTGTAGCTGACAGTTTTTTGTTTCAGTGGCATGATCTTAGTGTGGGATACTACACGCACCGCGCCGCGTAACACAGATCCCTGTGGCTTGTGGCCCCTGCAGCCCGCCAAGCGCGAGAGCCAGAGCAGTGTTGTGTGAGGATGGAGACACTGGTCGCGACATCTTTCCGGCGAGCGAGAAGGAGTAGGAGTGCGCAGCTCAGGAGACGTCAACATAGCAAGGCCAGGGTGGTGGGGTACAGAGAGAGCGCGCGCCGCGTTGGCCGAGCGCGAGTGCACGTGTAGAGAAAGAGTTTGTGTGCTGGAGGAGGTACAGTGGCGTGGGAGGCGTGTGTGTTGTATGCCGCTAGGTGGTATAGAGAGAGGATGGGTATAGGGGGAGTTGTGTGAGTTGTAGTAGAATAAGCCCAGCCATGTAGCACGTGAGCCGTGCCACATCGGTAACTACATTAAGAGTTAGAGAGCGTGTCCAATAGCGATGTTGAGAGCGAAGCTGGAGTGAGGATGAGACAGGGAATACCAGAGACAGTAGGGAGAGAGTCTTGTGTACAAATAAACAGCACAGCATTATTGAACTAAAAGCTACTGTCTCTGTGCCTATATATAGGTCATTCTGTATGTGTTATGATAGACTGTCTCTTGTGCCAGAGATGGTGAGGGAGATCCGAGGCGGTGTTAGCGGTGGTGGCGGTAGAGGTGGGAGTGCTGCGACAGAAGGGTCAGTGGTGTTCGCGAGTGCAGTGATGATCAAGTGTTGATGGATGGGTGTTTAGGTAATTTTTCACTTTTGGTGTGCGGACAACTAAGTACTCAAAAGCCAGTGGTTGGGCCGAGTAGGCGCGAGAGTCCGAGAGAGGATGGACAGTATACATTGCGTTGTCCCCAGTAACTGAGTGTGGGCGAGAGAGTGAGCGAGAGTACAGTGCGAGAGATGAATGAGTTACGTTACGGGTGCGAGCGAGAAGAGAATAGGTTTACTTGGATGGTACATTGGTGTCAGGTCACGGGCCGGCATAGCTGATTTAAAATAGGACAGTCCAATATATCCCTTGACAGTTTGTGTGCGCTGGATCGGGGGGGGTGCGGTCGCGCAAATCTCCATCTTTCCTTCTTTTAAAACTGCGCCCTCAAGTCACCCTCTCCTCCTGTTCTAGCCAAAACTCGCTAAAGTTTTTTCTTGATTTGTCGGAGGCAAAAACGTGTGTAAAGTTGCCGGCTCGGCTTGGTGAAAATTACACCTTCAATGCCCTCGGTTCGGTGGAAAAAACACTCAACTAAGTTCTAAGTTCTATTAGTTAAGGTAGAGTTGCCTTATTGCTGTTAAGAAGGTGCTTACCGTCATTACCTCCTTCGGAATAGCGTTTTTAAAGCTAGGCAAAGTAAAGTGTTAAAGTTGGCGTTAGCAGTGCAGGTTATCAGGTTTCGCAGGTTAAGTGACTCCCGCCGGTCTAAGCATCTGGGGATCATTTTAAAAAACGCTTTTCTTGAAAATGCCTTTTAAACTTCAGCTGCAGAAGTTAAAGGACAGAATAGTTTGTTAGTAGGCTATTATGCTCTATTGAGAAGGCTAGCGGCTAATGCTATGCAGCTAGTTTAGAGATGGGAGAGATGATACCAGGTTGTGATGATCAAGCTAAGTAGAACAGAGTTGGCTGGTGTATATCTATTGATTACACTTTGCAATAAAATATTATCGATAATGCATTCATGCTGAGCAAACAGGATTGGTTCTGAATTTTTGAAACACGTTTACGGCATATCAGTTCATACAATACAGCCGGGCTGCTAGGCGCTATTTGTGGTTAATTGTGTATCTGTTGTGGTTTGTACTGTTTTTTCTCTCTTGTAAGTGTTATATATATATTATAATTATTATTATTTTTCTTCTATTACTGTTTCTATACTGTTTGTATTATCTGTTTTGTTTTCTCTATCCACTTGCTGCTGTTAAGATTGGAATTCCCGATGTGGACTTATTTAAAGGAATTTCGCTTATTCTTATCTTATCTTTATCCTTAGCATTAGCTAGAATTTTAGTAGACATGAGTGAGGCCGGCGCGAATTTATTCCACGAGCAGTAAATGTGTCTAGGACCTTTTCAACAGCTATGCTTAACTTGATATGTTTTATTTGTAATTTCAGTTTCTTTGTTCTGTTGTAAAACACAACATTCAAGAATGGCACATTGTCTGATTCTCTATAAGATTTCTATGAAGTTGTTGATTTTAAGTGTGGTGATGTAAATTATACATTTATAACAATGCAATTATGTGGCCATATTTTTAAATTCTCCAGTCAGCTTTTGGAAGGTTTGCTTAATGTGGGCCCGCCTGTGGAACTCTGTGGTTGTAGGGGTTTTTTTTTTAATTCTCAGTTCCTTCGCATTCCATCGGTGACCGCTGTCATCAGCAGAAACTATCGGGCGCCTATCTACAGTTTTTCTCCATTGTTTGGCTCATTTCTTCGAAACAGAAATTACATTCCTCAAAAAAACATGGACAAACCTCCAAACTCACTTGCAATTGATTCACGCAGAATTCTTATTTCGTCATTGATTTCATCACATTGCAAAGGTCGTAGGTACATCTTCTGCCAAATGATTAAGTACAGTTAGCCTACATCTAGCATCAATTTGCAATATCGATCCTTTGTGATCTAATAGTCTGACTTGATTTTATTCTCAGTTTCTAATGGTTGTTCTCTCCAAAACACTGCAGGCATCATTTTTATTCTATATCATCACATGCAAACATAGTCTGTCATATCTGTCAAAAGCTAGTCAAGCATATTAATCATATCACACTAAAACCATGAAATACCATATACTGATTTATTTAACAGAACTGTAGTGCTCACATATATATTCCTTTTTTCCTTGTTATGTGTTTTATATTAACAGTCTATATTAGCTTGATACATTTTCTGTGTTACTCTGATATGGAGTACTTTATGTTGTGAAAAAAAAATGGCTACTTTTCGTGGCAGTTGTGCGAGGGGGGGGATGGGGAGAAGCCTTAGAGCGCGCTTATCCGAAAATCCTGGTTTTGTTTTTGGGGCGAGGGAGGAGCGAGCGAGGGGGGGTTTTCGTTAGCGTCTAGACAAAAAAACTGAGTTAGATAGACCATTGTAATGACGGACGTGGGCTAAGACTTGATGAGGTGACATGAGGATATGGTTCCTCTTGCCATATGTGACAAAACATCTAAACATTTTGACTTTCAGTGCTCACCCAGATGCCAAAGGACGATGCGATTTTGGAGGTAGCGGTGATCTTATTTTATATGAGAAAGAGAATTTAGTTATGGACAGCATTGATGAACTTTTTGGGTATGGTGATGCGCTTTTTCTAAGTATGGCTTATGTGTGTGCGAACTTAAGACTGTTGTGCACGAAGTATCTTAGAGTTTTGAGAATGTAATTTCTGTTCGAGAAATGAGCCCAAACGCAATGGAGAAATAACTGGTAAACTCCAGAAGACTACTAGATCCAACAAATACTATGTACACATTACTTGCAATGACTTTGTAATGTTGGCCCTTTGTTGATCTATATTTGAAGCCAGAACTATATCTCACAGAACCAGTTTGGATTCAGTCTCTGGTGGTTAATATGGTGGTAAACCCATTCAGCTAGAATACAGAAATGGTTCCATCCTACTTAGAGTTGAAAATGTTGATCGGGAGAGACCCCAGACGGGTCCACTAGGATTTATTCCTTCGAATATCATCCAGTCGCTGTGTGTTCTTCACAGTCCTTAACGTTTGAAGTCCACAGTTCTCAGGAGATGCTGATCCTAACAGCAAAAGACAACCTGAGTATCTTCTATTTAGTCTTTTTAGAGGCTATATAAGATTGGCGCATTGGTGTACATAGTGAAAACGTGGTTCCAAAGTGCCCTCTACAGTGTGCCTTTTTTTTTTTCCCCGCCCTGCCCTTCAAAAAGTCTGGTGCGACGTCCACTGCTCCCTGATGGATTCATTTTTGTAATCATGGAGAAAACTAGTTTAGAAAATGGGAACACTTGTATTCAGTGGCTGGAAATATTCCCCGGGGCACAATTACCAATTTTGTGGGGAGCAGTAGGTAAGGTAATATAACTACTTACCGTAGGCAGTGAGTAATAAGTAAAGTAATGATATTACTTTTGAAAACAGTAATGAGTAATGAGTAATAAATAAAATATCTTTTGAGTAACTATCTCAACACTGCTCAACACCTTTCCAGGGGAACTTTGGCAGCGTTGAACTTTGTCGTTATGACCCGCTGGGTGATAACACGGGTGAGCTGGTTGCTGTGAAGAAGCTGCAGCCCAACAAGCAGTCGACCCTGGATGACTTCAAGAAGGAGGTCAAAACCCTCAGTGTTCTTCACTGTGACTACATCGTCAAATACAGAGGAGTCTGCTATAGCATGGGTAATAAAAATACTAACTGCAAACGTAGCAGTAAAAGAATGAGAATTAGACCTATATTATATTCCTTTAACACCCAGCCCAGGCTGGGTGTTAAAATGCTTTGAGCCATATGTTATAAATATATGTATACTGTAAAAGCTCACACACCATTTTAATAAATACACTCAACTTTAATGTTGAACTCCATGCCATTAGATAAGTTTGTCAGTTTCATGTCAATGTCAATTTTAGGGTTATTAGATTCAGAACCACTTCAGAATTTGAGGTCAGTTTTGTAACTGAAAAGATGAAATGACAAAATGGCTTGTTATGACTTTTTATATGGCTGTCTCTCTTATGACAGTGTGTATGAGGGATTAGACTTAACCAGTGAAACATTAACATAACTGAACTCAAGCCAGTAAGTATTTTTAAATTAAGCTGTCTCGCCTTTAATGAAAAACAAATTGAACAAACTCTTCAGCACTCATTTAACTTTTTATGGATCCCCTGCATGATCCTGGATTACATTTAAAATCACAGTCTTTAGCTGACAGTGTTGTCCAGAGTGACTTATAACTTCAAGTAACTTCAAGAAACGTGAGACAATTGGCCTTTCCTCTGCAGACTGATTTTGATTTAATGTTTGCCTGTTCACAGGTCGCCTCAGTATGAGTTTGGTGATGGAGTACCTTCCCCACGGCAGCCTTATTGGCTACTTGGAGAATAACCAACATAAAGTCAACACCAGGCGGCTTCTGCTTTTTGCTTCTCAGATCTGTAAGGTAAGAGTCAAATATATGAACTCCTGCAAAAATTGGAACTTTTACATCGCCCTCTGCAGGGTAAGCCTATAGATCTTATCTTGGCTCCGTGACTTCATCAACTTCATTTTCACTATCTGTAAGGAAGTACCACAGGATGATTGTTATTTAATTGTCTTCTGTTTGGCCATTTGTAATTTTCTCAGGGGATGGAATACCTGCAGACCCTGCGTTATGTGCACAGAGACCTCGCAGCCAGAAATATCCTTGTGGCCAGTGAGACGCTGGTGAAGATCGCTGATTTTGGGCTGACCAAGATTATTCCTTTTGACAAGGAGTACTACCGAGTCACGCAGCCTGGAGAGAGTCCCATTTTCTGGTAGCTTATCTCATTTGAAAACTGAAATACTCTTTAATCCAAAGAGGTTTTCTGAAGTAGCCACTGAATTAAGATTATCTTGTGTTCACTTCCTGGAGATCTACCTAACCATACACTGCTCATCTAATGCAGGTATGCTCCAGAGTCCATCAGTGAGTCCAGATTCTCCCCCAAGTCAGATGTCTGGAGTTTTGGAGTCGTTCTTCATGAGCTCTTCTCCTACTGCAACATGAACTCCAACCCAAAAAGAGTAAGAAGACGCCTAAGAATACATTCATTTATATACAATAATTTAAAATAATAAAGAATTGTTTAATCAGAATGCAACACCATTGTGGTTCCCCCCCTCTCCCTTCTCCCCTGTTTCATTAATGTCAATGTTTTAGCTGTGCATGCAGGAGATTGGACACAGTGTGCAGAGTCCATCCATTTCAATGCATTTGGCAAATATTCTAAAGACTAACTGGAGGTTGCCGCCTCCTCCAAGCTGCCCTCCGAAGGTATGTTCTCTCTATGTGGGTCAGTTGCTATATGTTGTGATGCTATTATAATTTCACTGTGAATCAATGTGCCGTCTGTAAAATGCTTGTTGCCTCTGTGTTACATCAGTCCGTCTTTTGCGACGATGATTTTCTTTGTCTGTTTATTTTACAATCTTCAGTTAATTCTGGAAGAGGTGATGATATACGTATATTGTAAACACCTTATTTGATCCTTCAACTTGCCAAACCAGTCACACTATACAATGCAAATATCAACAGTTCTTTGCTCTGTCTCTCCCAGCAAAACAGCTTATTACATTTCTCTCATTTTAACACTAGGTGTACGGTTTGATGAAGGAGTGCTGGGCGTACGACTTCGAGGAGCGGCCAGGTTTCTCCAGCCTGGCAAACGAAATTGAAACCATCATGCAGGACGAGAGAGAAAACCCTAAAGGCTGATTAGAAGCCTTGTTGCGCCTCACTGTTGAACTCATACTGGAGAGCAACAGTATGAAATGGTACAATTTTATTGTAATTTCATTTCCATCACAAGTCTTGTCTAGGTAACTCCTTAAGCGCTCAGGTAAAGCTCTCTTTCCCACTCCCATAATGTACAAAGACGCATACACATGTGAGCTGAGGGGAGAGCTTCATTAACTCCCAGCTGCTGCATAGGCTAAACATTGTGTTGTGTAGTATTTCTTTAGGTAAGAGAGTGTTTGTTTGTTATCTTTTAATTGAATTTTTTGTAGTATTTTGTAAACCAGTACGATTTTTCAAAATAGCAGATATTGTGGACACAAAAGACAGCAACATTTACTAAGGGCAGATGAAAAATAGAAGTTACCTGGATGTAACTTGAGGGGTTGGGCACATAGATAATAGAACATTTACTTTTTACAGTGAATGAGCGATAAAAAGGCTATAAAAACTATGAAATTGTCGTTTTGTTCAACAACAGGTGAAAGATATTTAACTAATTCCATGTCAGAACTACTCAGAATACTGTACTACTATAATTTAGAAAATATAGGCAATTTGTACCGTGCACTGCAAAGCATGTATTATTACATATATCACTTTAAGATATGTTTATCTAAAATAACTAAATGAAAAAAAAGGGTTAAAGCTTTGCAGGTTTTTAAATTTCTTTTATAAAAATGTATCGAGAAGAAATATATTTTGCATCTAATATTTTATTTCTGCATGTATACTGTGGTAGTTTGGTAGTGAATTTTTTTTTGTATTTTGAAGTACATCCTTTAATAAAAAGATGTTGTGGCAACTGCTTTTGTAAATATTTGTACAGTATTTGTCCTTGGAGACTGAAGATGTTAGAGTCAACAAAGTCTAACAGCAGCAAGACAGCACTTCCTGCTCTGACTATATAGTTAAAATGCTAAGGTAAAGGTTTCAGATAAATTAGCTTAAAGTTACTATATCTATCTGGAGACTACTGGATCACCACAAAGCCATTTGGTAAACTAAAAAAAATATTAAAAACAAAATTATTGTTGTTCATCTGTGATAAAGTTTCAACATTATCAGTAGTAACAATTTTTTATATTTTTTTTTTTAATTTTTAGACATCCAGCGCTGCCTGTGTTAGCTTGTATGTAAAAATTGAATTTGTCTTTCTTAGAATAGAAAGAATTTAGAAATGCAACTTACAGTGTGGCCATTTTACACTTCTTTTAAATGTTGTCATTTAGTTCTGTTGTTTTTCCACAATAGGGCTCCCCATTTCCATGTTCCCTTTGGAAACTTCAATTACATGGTACACACCATCTCACAAGTATGAAATCCACTGAGATAAAATATTCAACAACCAACTACTGTTATTTCCATTTCTTACAGGTTTAGTATTATTACATAAAAAATGTTCCCTGAGTTCTTGAACTTGTGGAAAGTTGTTTAATTTCTAATATTTGCTCAAGGTGCAGTAATATGCAGAGAAACATAGTAAGAGGTGTGGGTTACTTGCCCTGTTGAATGTCCGTTGCACACATAACCTTGTTGAATCTTTCACCTCAATATATGTTTTCAGTCATTTACTACTGCAGTAACGTTTTGGCTACAAGAGGGCGCCACAGTTCTTTTATACAAACCTTATCCCTACCATCCTGCTTTAAATACAGTGCATTAAATACAGTAAATTCAAGATATACAGTATAATCTCTATCATATCTAACAATATACTACTGGAAGAATGCTGGATAGTGTTATGCTTCCGGATAGAGAACAGCCAAGAACCCACAAGCATGACGTGTTAGCAATCAGGTAAATTGGCAGGAGTCAAAACACCAATCAATCAGTTAAAAGGCAAAATTATAACCGACAGGGATCAATCAGAGAATCAGAGAGTCCAGGGAATCAGGCAGATGTTTTCCCAACCTACACCTATAATGTTTTAATGACGTATTCAATATTAAGTACAATAATTTTTGTGTTGTTAGTTAAAACAGATTGTGTTTGTTCATCGTGTAGCTTAGATGAAGATAAGACAAATGTATGAATAAATCAAATAGTAATTCTCAAACAGGAATTTCATGCTCACTAATAGTATTATGACAAAGGGGCCCTGTGTTCTTTATCTGTGCTGTTGTCTTTAATTTGAGATCACTTGCAAAAACTAACTTATTGGTGTTGGAATGTATGCAGCTGTGCACAGGGTTATCACATATGTACACACACACATACACACACCACTGAGTTAATGTGTGGTACTGTGTATCTGAGAAGGTGTTTCTCTGACTCTGCTCAGAGGTGTAAACTGTAACAATCTTCTCAAGTATGGTTCCCATTGGTGGGTGTGCACTGAAAAAGATCTAAAAACACAATATGGACACCAGCATTTAGTTTTTAGTTTTTATTAAATCCATGTTTAGTATGCAGCACACAATTTCATCTCCCAGCCATTAATTATAAAATATTACAATATATAGCCTCTTCTTGAAAATAAAATAGATTTCTGTATATATTCAATAGACACACTTAAAAAAAGACTCCGATCTGACAGTACATGAACTCAACTTCTGACAGTGGTTTCTGGTTCAGAAGCACTGCTATAAGGCACAAAACATACATTAATTTCTTCCTCAAAATATTGTTCCAACACAAATATACAGGTTATACAAAAGTACTGTTAGATTCAAGAAAACTGTAAACTTATAAACTTAAGCAGATTACATAATCAGTTTGAAGAAACCCTGAGAAATTATTTTTGACTGACATTTATATAAGATTGTGGATATACTGTATAACCCCCAGTACCATTCACACCAAAGAGTATTGTAAAAATGGTTTCAATACCGGAGACATTTTTTCTACATAGGCCCACAGTATAAATATTTTTTAGAATTTATATTAATTGTTAGGGAAGCAACATAAACCAGGTAGTTCTGGTAAATAAAGTTATTTATTTGT